ACCAACTGAGCCACCCAGGTGGCTCAGTTGGTTAAGCAGCTGCCTTCGGCTCAGGTCATGATCCCAGCGTCCTGGGATCGAGTCCCACATTGGGCTCCTTGTTCTGTGGGGAGCCTGCTTCTCCCTCTGCCTCTGCCTGCCACTCTGTCTGCCTGTGCTCTCTCTCTCTCTCTTTCTGACAAATAAATAAATAAAAATCTTTAAAAAAAAAAAAAAAAGAAAGAAAAAAAAAGTCATTCTAAACAATTGGTTCAAAGTTTGAGACTGCATCCAGAACCAAGCTTTAAGGCATGTATATTGGATTCCTATGTAGCTGGTTGAGTGGTAGAACAATTAATTCATGTAAGATTTTTCTTTAGTAGGAGGAATAGGATTTTCCAGGAGTCAGAAGGTCAGCAGTGCTTTTGTGGGGGAGTGCAAAGGTATGAGGATGTGTCTTCAGTGAGAATGTGTCTGTGTGTGGGGCAGGGGACGGTGTCAGGGTGTAGCGTGTCCCTGTGTAGGCTGATTGCCATAAGGTGTGAAGAGGAGGAGAGAAGAACACCCATAAGCAGAACTCGCTGCCCTCTGTAGAAACCACTACTCCCTGAATGGAGTGGAGGGCTCACGAGGTAGGTGTGGGGAATGGAGAAGGCAGCCCTGGTGTGCAGATGGGACTGCGCCTTAGACTTTCTGTGATTCACATGCTTAGGGCTGTCAACCCCAGGGCTTATCGGATGCCCACTTGTCTCCCATTCTCCATGCCCTGCCTCAGCCTCCACATAGACTGATCCATTTTCTTGGAGATTGGGCATGGGGAAAGACCAGGCTTCCTACAGCCTGCTTTCCTGGTGACTTGGGAACAATTTGGGTGGGAGGGGATTGTTTGGGAGGGAGGAACTTCCATGGAGTTCTGCTTTAGGTCGAAGAGCAAATAGTTCTAGTGCTGCATTGAAAACAGTTGTTAGACATCACGCATAATAACTGACCAATTTTCTTTTATATAAATCTCTGCATTATAAACCTAAGTGCTGTGGGAGAAGAAAAAATATGTCCTCTGCCAATCTGAATTTTTAAGATAATAAAAGATTCCCTCTTCCTAGACATAAACTCGGGCATATGTTGGTGACCATTGGAAGAGCTACAGAGAACAAAATCTAAGTTGTGATCCAAGGAAAGAGTTGGAAAATTACGGGTGAATTGTCTAGTCTTTGATGCTGAACACATACTTCATTTGTTCCTCAAACATTAACAAACATCTGTGGGCTAACCACCATCCTAGGCCACATGTTATCTTACTCAGTAGTCCTGTTTTACATGTGAGGGAAATGAAACCCAACAGAAATGAAATGATTTGCCCCAGGACTTATATCTGGGAAGTCACAAGATCCAAAAGTAGCTCTCAAACTCGGAGTACCCTCTGTTTCCACTCTACGGTGGATGTTCTCTTGTACTGGTCCCACCAGGGGGTCCCTTGGGGTGACCACGTGAGGGTGACTTTCCACGATGGCATTCTGTAGGAGTGGGAATCCGGGGAGGCCTGTTCCTGGGCTCGGGATCATCTCATTGTCCTCCTCTCAGTAACATTCATCATTCTACAAGGAGAGAGCTGGATGCTGCCAGGAGAGAGTGGGGAGAAACTCAGCCCACGTC